CAATTTACTGAATTTGATTCAATTAATTTTAATAATACTCAAAATGTATTAATAATGATAAAATGGTCATAACTTACAATAAAGATTTATTGGTTAGTGACCATTCTTTCCATACTAGAAGACCAGATATATAATATCAAAATATTACAGAAAAGAAAGGATATATCATAGATGTTGCTATATGTCAAGATAATAATTTAGAATTAAATTATATTCATGAAATAAATAAATACAAAGAATTACAAGAGAAATTAAGAAATAATAGAGAATTAATATATGTAGAAATAATACATGTTATATTATCAATAAATGGATTAATACATAAAGAATCAGCAAGAAGATTAAAAGCACTGAAATTACAATTAGACTTTTCCAAAATCCTACGAACAATCATAATCAAAAACATGAAAGACTTAATGTTTTACACATTCAATTCTGGCAGCACATTAGAAGAAGAACAATCTAATGCGAGTGTATTAGAAATTAACTCTATTACACCAATAGAGCATATTGAAGAAAATGAAATAATCACTTCTCAATATTCATAAAATCCAATTGAAGATATATCTAATAATTGACATTTTCCTTATTATTTTTTTCTTTTTTATTGAAACACAATAAAATTAGAAAGAACTTGAAATAAATAACACATTCATAAACTAATAAAATATGACTAACCGTATAGGTGAAAGTAAACATTTTATTCTTCCAAAACCACAAAAAATGAAAGACACTGATGTGACAAATCCAATTCCTATAACTACTCCTGTTGATATTAAAAATGAATATAAAAATGATTCACCACAACCAGTGATAAAAGAAATGTCTTCTGACAATCAGTTAAGAGGATTTGATAAAAAATTTATTTTAACTGAAAAAAGTGACAATGAAAATGTTTGTTCTAATACCACTGCTGTTTCAGACCAAAATAAACAAAGACTGTCTGAAGATTGTGTTAATAAAAAAACTGATGAACAGAAATTAATTCAAGATGAAAATTTTCATCAAGAAACTTCATCTTTGAATCAATCCACATCATTAATTAATAACTCAGAATCAAACGAATTTTGTTTTGGATCGTCTGAAAGTGATGATGAGTCATGTGAAATAGTTATGGATAATCAAATTATTGTAGAAGGTAAACAAAAAGAGAAAAAATTTCAACAAATTAGCCTTTCTGATTTTAAAGAAAAAGATTGTGGGGAAGGTATTGGATTTGAGCTTGGATATGGAATGGATAGTGAAGATGAAATTGAAGGAGAAAATGAAGCATTAAAAACACTCCCAAAAAAATGTTTAGAAGCTCCTCAAACACCAGTTATCCAAGATGATAATGCATTTAAAAATAAAAGCCAAGAAGAACAAAAATCAAGTGAATTTGATTTTGGAAGTGATAATCATGAAAGTTCAAATAGTTGTATTTTTAATGAGTCAATAAGCAGAAGTGAAAGTCGTGGAAGCGTATTAAATAGTTGTGAAATAAAAGAAGGAATTGAATTTGATAGTCCAATAAAAAATGAAGAAAAAACAGGAAAGGTTGTGAAATTATGGCAACCATCCTTGTCTGATTTCAAAGAAAAGGTTAAAGAAGATAAAAACAGTCTTGTTATTGGTAAAAAAGAACGGTTATCTGATAAAATTGAAGATTCAAATGTAGTAGTAACCAAACCTATAAGCATTAAAAGTGAAAGTTATAAATCAAATAAATTAGAACCTAGAGAATCATTTATTGTAAGAACAGATAAAAAAACATCAAGTAATATTGATAGTAAAACAAAAGAGGCTTTAGAAATACAAGAACGATTAAAATTAGAACAACAACAATGGTTAAAAAAGAAAGAAGAAGAAGAAAAACGAGTACTAGAAGATCAATTAAATTCCTTGGAAATCACTAAAGAAGAAAATTTAAACAAAGGAATTATTAAGTCATTTATTCCTAGTTTACAACAGTGGACTGGAATGCAAAAATATGACGTTATTTATAACTCAAAGTTAGATGGGTTTAAAAAAGAAAGAATTAATAACCATATTTGTTTAAAGAAACATGTTATGGTTTTAGTGTTTACAACAGATGGAAATGTGTTTGGGTGTTACAATAGTAAGAGACTACCTGCTCCAAGTTGTGAAGGATTTGTAATGGATGATCCACAACATTTTATTTTTACATTAAAAAATCCATTATCAATACCACCAACAAAATTTGTTAAAAAAAGTATTTTTGGACCATCAGTAGGGATTAATTTCAATGGATATAAATCTGTTGATGGTGAAGATGTTTTATTAACATGTAGATGGTTCTTTTATATTCGAGAAAAAGATTCAAGTATTTCATCTTCATTCAGTAGTATTTATAATGACATTATTGGAAAAGAATATTTTGTATTCACTGGAACTACTGTTGTAAAAGTTGAGAGAGTTATTGCCTTAGAATGGAAAAAAGACTCAATTTAAAACAATTCATTATTCCAATTCAATTCATTCTTTAGATATTTTTATGTTATACAAAACAATAATTAATGGGAAATAATCTTTTTTTTAAGAACTTTAAAAAGTTCTTGTAAAAACTGAAAATAATAAAATGAATGAAGTGTTGACACCATTAGAACGTGCATTAAGACAACAATCAGAACATATTATTGAATCCTTTATTATAATTGGAGCACCTGTTTCAAATAACTTTTTTCCTACAAGTGAGCAAGAAGTTTTATATAAATATCCAAACAATTTAACAATACCTGATAAGGTAATAACATTTTTAAAAAGCCCAACTCCATTTGAAAGAATTTCAGTTAAGAAATATTTAGAAACTGAAAGAATGCATCCAGCTGTAACAATTTTACCTGGAAGTGGTTTATCTCAATTTGCTGTTATTGTTTCACATCTTGAACCTGTTTGTATGCATTCAACATTGATTAATGGGCCAACAGTATTACCATCAACAGTAAGTTCTTTTAATGCTGTTAGAAGGTTTTATATTTTTTTATGTCTTCAACCACATGTAATGGGGTTGGTAAAAGCCCTAAAAATTATCATTGAATTTGATTTTGGAAAGAAACTTGCGTTATTGTCAGGTAAAAAAGACGAAAGTCATGAACTTAAAAAAGCAGAGTTAGAAGAACTTATTGGGTCTCTTATTACTTCACAATCCCCAATACTTGAATCTCATATAGTTCAAACACCAAATAAACAAATAAATTATAAAGGTTACACTATTGTCTTAATTCATTCATACAAAAATAAAGTTAAAAAAGGAGTTATTGAAAAATGTCCTCATTCATTAGAAGTACGTTATACAACAATTTATCCATTACCTAATATGATGTTGTTATGTGACTTTTCTATTCCAATATTATTTACTACATTGCCATTGAATATTATTTTAGATTTATTTGAATCAATATTATTAGAAACTTCTGTTATATTAACTTCAACTCGACCAACATTATTTACAGCTGGATGTTTTGGATTATTATCATTATTACATCCTTTAAGTTGGCAAGGAGTATTTCTTCCAATGGTTCCACATAGTCATATAGAATTACTTGATGTTCCAGTACCTGGAATATTTGGTACACAACCTTTAAAAGGAAATCCATCCAATTCTGGATTGCTTGTTAATATTGACGCTTTCACTCCAACATTAAATGGAGAAAAGAAAAAACAAGTCCAACAACTTCCACCATCAAGATCTATTTTGTCAGAACAAATGAGAAATAGTTTAATTGCTGCAATTGAAATTGTAATAAATAATTGGAATGGAAAAATTAAAGGAAATGAATGTGAATTTACAACTGAAATTATGAATATATTCTGGGTTAGTTTCTTCAACAAAATATTTCACAGTGTTATTGTGTTAAATTGTGATACAATTGAAGATTTAAAAAATAACATTTTAAAACTGCCTGAAGATGATGAATTTAATAAAAAATTTTTAATGAGATTTACTCAAACACAACACTTTAATACTTGGTGGTTTTCTCAATACTTAAATTATAAAAAAGAATGGACTGAAACTGTTTGTGGGAATGAATGATTAAATTTTGTAATTGAGTTTATTTGAAAAATTGTTGGTTTATATAATACTATATAAGGTAGTATTATACTTTTGTTTAACTTTTTTATTTCATTGAATTGTTTAATTACAGTCATTTAATAAATATTTTATTGTTTTCTTTAGACAATACAATGAACAATTATTTTACCAATTTACATTATCTTTATTATGAGACAATCTTTTTATTATCATTTTCATATTCTTTTTAATAAATTGTAATTCTCTAAAAAGGCTTCAGTTTAATAAAAACTTATTGAGTTAAATTCATTATTAATTTTTTTGGTTATCAGACAAAATGGCAATATCAATTAATGTAAAGAATGTATTTTGTTATTAATAAATCTTTTATTCATTTGTTATAAATGAGCATGATATTTATCACATTAGATAATAATTAAATATTATTACTAATAAAGTCAAAAATAAGAATATAATAAAAAAGGTTATAATTCTTTATGATAGAAATGAATTAAAATGAGTAAATATTATCATATAGAAAGAAATTTACTAATTAAGAATTAATAAATTCTCTTTAAATATCTGATTGTTTTAATTAAATGGAGATACATTTAATTTTCACTTTTTTCCACTATACTTTTGTTATAAACCAATAAAATTAGTGATAACCCTTATTTATTTTAAAATTGTAAATACATTATAATTAAAAAAAGTAATGGTTATTTTACAAATGAATATTTCAACTTAAAAAAGTTTTGAAAAGAGAAATAAATTTTAAATATATAATGGAAAAAGTAGTAGATAAGAAAGAATTACAATATTTTAAGAAAAGAAAGAACAAGATAACTTAATTGTTAATCATGAAAGATTATTAATAAAAAAAGTCAGTATGTTAGTTTGAAACAATTTACTTATTTTACAATTCAATTAATTTATTATTATACATTTGGTTTCAAAAAAAAATATAATATATTATACAAAAAAATAACTATTTATTAAAGTAAATAGCCATACAATTGTCTTTATAATGAATTCCACATTTTTCATAAAATTGTTTAACACCATCTTGACAATCTAAAACTATTTTATAACATCCTTTTTCTTTTCCAATTTGAATGAGTTTTTGAATGAGTGCTTTGCCTAATCCTTCTTTTCTTCTTGAATTGGTTACTACAATATCTTCAATATGTCCAACTAGACCACCACAATGAATAAATTTTCTCTCAATAAGTAAAGTTCCAGTAACAACAATTTTACCGTTATTATCTTCACCAACAATGACATTATATCTTCCACTTTTTTGCTTTATCCATTAATTTTATATTAAATACTTTTTTTCTTTTAAATTGTAATTATTCATTCAAATAAGAAAGAACAAACCATCTCATCAAAAACTATATTAAATCTTTCTTCAGTTATTTCACAATTTGTTAATTCGCTAAGAATATTTGAAATTCCTTTTTTATAATCTTCTTTTTCAAGGACTCTGAATTTAACATTATTCAAAATTGGTAATGATGTAGTTACAGAACAAATACTGGTCATTAGATAATTGAAGTTCTCAATAGCTTTTTTAAATTATCTTTTTCTCTAATAACAAAAGTATTTCATTTCAACTCAAAATGGTTTATGTTCTTTTTGTTTGAAAGATGTTTTATTTAACTCATTAAGTTGATTATTAAACAAAAAAGAAGAATTTCATTATAAATGTTTCATAATCTTTCATTATATTATCCAAATTAATGAAAATTATCTTTTTCAATTTTTAATAAATTGTTATATTTTTTTGTTAATATTTCATTTTAACTCATCTCTTCATATTTTTTGTTTTTATCTTTTTTTAATATTTTTCATTTATTTTCTTTGTTTGATTTTTTTAATTTTATTATTTTTTATTATAAAAATAAATAACAATACAATTCTTTCAATACGTCAGATGTTATATTTATAAAAGTAAAAAAGGAAATCAAATCCTTTTTATAAATGAATGAAGTTGTTTAAAAAGAGATCGAAACTAAAAAATGTGTAATTATAATTCTTCTTCAAGACTTTGAAGGGAATTAATTGTTTAGCAAGTTCTATTCCTTTCTATCCTCATAAAATAACTATTGAATAATCTAATACTTAATGATAAAGTAATAATAATAAAAACCCTTTTTTCAAAGAAGGTATGAGTCATGTTCACGTGGAAAGAAAAGTGGAAGAGTGGTAATATTGTTTCTTTAACATTCACTCTTTCAAAAAATATTTATAAGAAAAGAACAAAATTTTGACTATTTTTGGAGAAGGAGACGAGCTGGGTCAAATTTCATGCAAAATAAATAAATGAAAGTCACAGTAAAGCTACTTTTTCATTTACCTAAATTTACCTAACCGAGTTTTTGGATATTTCTTTCATCAAAAAATACTAATAATTCATTCAAAAGAAATGAGCGTAACAACAAACGCTGTTGCTGATGCTTTTGCTGTATTTGATGTTACACCTGATCCAGATGAATTAGCAAGAAAGAATAAAAAACCAGATGATTCAGGAAGTGTTACTGTTAGACAATTATATAGATATGCTAATTGGCTTGATTTAATTCTTCTTGCTGTTGGTATTTTTGGTTCTATTGGATGTGGTGTATTAACTCCATGTCAAATGTTAGTTATGGGAGATATGGTTGATACTTTTAATACAAATGATCTTATGAAAGCCTTCCCTAATCAAGAAGCAATGTATGATCCAAAATATTATATTCCATTTAATCACGAAGTTACTAAAACTGTTGCAGATACTATTAATGACCTTGTATTAAAGATGGTATGTTTTGCTATTGGAAGTGGTGTTGGTTCTTTCTTAATGACTTTTTGTTTCTTTGTTATGTCAGAAAGACAAGGAATTAAAATTAGAATGTTATATTTCAGAGCATTATTAAGACAAGATGCTGGTTGGTATGATTTCCATGAATCTGGTGAATTAACTTCTAGAATTGCTTCTGATGTCCAACAAATTCAAGACGGAATGTCTCAAAAGTTTGGTATTATTTTCCAAACAACTACTTCATTCATTGCTGGATATGCAATTGGTTTTGCAAAAGACTGGGATTTAACATTAGTTATTATGTCAATGTCTCCATTTATTGTTTTATCTATGACATTATTAGCTGTCTTTGCTACAAAATTCACTGTATTAGGAGAAGAATCTCTTGGAAATGCTGGTGCTATTGCTGAAGCTACCATTGGTAATATGAGAACAGTTCATTCACTTGGACAAGAACATGAATTTTGTGAAATGTATAATGAAAAAATTAGAGTTGTTGATCGTTATAATGTTCTAAAAGGTCTTACTGTTGGATTAGGACTTGGAGCAGTTATGTTCTTTATTATGGGTGCTTTTTCATTAGGAAGTTGGTATGCTTCAGTTGTATTAAGAGGAAAAGGAGGAAAGAAAAATGTTACTGCTGGTGATGTTATGATTGTCTTTATTTGTGTATTAATTGCAACTCAAGGACTTTCTATTATTGCTATTCCATTAAATATATTTGCTACAGCTAAAGCTTCTGCATATAGAATTTATCAAACAATTGATAGAATCCCAGATATTGATTGTAGATCTACAGCTGGTGAATGTCCAACTGAGTGTAATGGAAATATTACATTAGAAGATGTTCAATTTAGATATCCAACAAGACCAACTAAACAAATTCTTGGTGGACTTGATCTTGAAATTAAGAAAGGACAAACAGTTGCATTAGTAGGAGCATCAGGATGTGGTAAATCAACTACTATTCAATTAGTCCAAAGAAATTATGATCCAGTTGGTGGGTCAGTCAAATTAGATGGAAAAGATTTAAGAGATTTAAATATCAAATGGTTAAGAAATCAAATAGGATTAGTTGGACAAGAACCTATTTTGTTTGCATGTACTATTAGAGAAAATATTATGCTTGGAGCTAGAGATGGAGAAACACCAACTGAAGAAGAGATGATTGAATGTGCTAAAATGGCAAATGCACATGAATTTATTTCTCATCTTCCAGAAGGATATGATACAATGGTAGGAGAAAAAGGAGCTGCATTATCAGGAGGACAAAAACAAAGAATTGCTATTGCACGTGCATTGATTAGAAAACCTACAATTTTATTACTTGATGAAGCTACATCAGCACTTGATACACAAAGTGAAAAGATTGTACAACAAGCACTTGAAAAAGCTAGTCAAGGAAGAACAACAATTGTTGTAGCACATAGATTAACAACTGTTAGAAATGCAAGTAGAATTTGTGTATTCCATCAAGGAGAAATTATTGAACAAGGAACACATCAAGAATTAATGGATTTGAAAGGAACATATTATGGATTAGTTAAAAGACAAAGTATGGAAGAAGAAGTTGATCAAGAAACCGTTGAAAATGATTTGAAGAAAATTAGAGAACAAGAAAACAAAGAAGCAGAAGAAATTAATCAACATAAAAACACAGATACAAATGAAGATCCAGATATTGTACAAAAATTAGAAAATGAATATAATAGTGAAATGAAGAAATTAAAACATTCAAATAGATTTGTATTATTAAGAGTTATTCTTGATAATTTCAGACATGAATGGTTCTTATCAACATTTGGATTTATTGGAGGAATTGGAGGAGGTGCTATTTTCCCATTCTTTACATTAAAAATTGTTGATTTAATTATGTGTTTATTGTCAATTAACTCAGATACTCTTACTGATGATCAAAAAGATACTATTAAGAATATTTGTATAATTGTTGTAGTTATAGGTGTTGCATCATTCTTATCATTCTTTATGTATATTGGATTATTCTTATCAGCAGGATTTAAGATGATTGGACGTGTTAGAAAAGATATGTATCATTCAATAATGCATCAAAATATCTCATGGTTTGATAGAAAAGAAAATATGGTAGGTTCATTAACAACAAGACTTGCATCTGATCCAACAACATTACAAGGAATTTCAGGAGAACGTGTTGGAAATGTTATTCACATTATTTCAACAATTGGATTTGCCTTAGGTATTGCATTCTATTATGATTGGAAAGTTTCATTAGCTGTTATGGCTGTATCTCCTGTATTGATTGTTGTTGTGTTTATTAATGGAAAGTTAAATTCATTAGAAGCATGTCCAGCACAAGCAGCATATGAAAAATCAGGAATTACTCTTGTTGAAGCAGTTGAGTCTGTAAGAACAGTTCAGTCATTAACTCGAGAAGAACATTTCTATGAAGTGTTCAAAGATGCATTAAGAGAACCAAAAATTGGAATCTATAAATGGGCACCATTGTTATCAATTTTCATGTGTTTGACTACCTTATTAACACAAGTTATGAATCCATATGGATTTTACATTGGAACTTATTTAATCAAAAAGAAAAGTAACTACGATCTTCCAGTACCTGATTTTATGATAGAATTTAGTGATAGGTTTGAGGAAATGCAAAAAGCTATTATGGCAGTTATTTTTGCAGCACAAGCAGTTGGTAATTTAGGAAATATTGTTCCAGATATTGGAAAAGCTGTTAGAGCAGCAAAGAATACTTATGATGTTATTGATAGAAAACCAACTATTGATTGTTATAGTGAAGAAGGTGAAACATTTAATGATGTTAAAGGTGAAATTGAATTTAAAGACATTTGTTTCAGATATCCAACAAGACCAGACAATTCTGTCTTGAAAGGTATTTCATTCAAAGTAGAACAAGGAAAAACTGTTGCATTAGTAGGAGCATCAGGATGTGGTAAATCAACATCAGTTCAGTTGATTGAAAGATTTTATGATCCAACACATGGAGATGTATTATTAGATGGACATAATATCAAAGATTTGAATATTCATTTCTTAAGAAGTCAAATTGGAATGGTAGGACAAGAACCAGTATTATTTGCTGAAAGTGTTATGGATAATATTAGAAGAGGAGTACCTAAAGGAGTTGAAGTAAGTAATGAACAAATTTATGCTGCTGCTAAAATGGCAAATGCACATGACTTTATTTCAGCAATGCCAGAAGGATATAACACAATGGTAGGTGATAGAGGTGCACAAATTTCAGGAGGACAAAAACAAAGAATTGCTATTGCACGTGCATTGATTAGAAATCCAAAAGTGTTATTACTCGATGAAGCTACATCAGCACTTGATTCAGAAAGTGAAAAGATTGTACAAGATGCACTTGACAAAGCAGCAAAAGGAAGAACAACAATTGTAATTGCACATAGATTATCAACTATTCAAAATGCAGATCAAATATGTGTTATTATGAGAGGAAGAATTGCAGAAAGAGGAACACATCAAGAGTTATTAGATTTGAAAGGATTTTATTATACACTTGCTATGCAACAATTTGGAACTGTGGATTAATTCATTAATTAATTGATTAAATTATTAATTAATATTTTTTTTTACCATTCTATTATTTGAATTTTCTTTCTTAATTATTTAATTCCTAATTATTATGTTTTATCCAAACTTACAGACTATTAACCTTTTCAATTTATTGCTTTTCTAGACTATTTCTGTTTTTCTTCTAATACTATACTATTACTCTTTAATTCTTTATTACTCCATTCTATATTTTATTATTATTCATTTAAAACATTTCTTTGCTATTGTATTAATCTAATTTATAATACCACTTTTGTTTCTAAAAGCATCTTACAAGCAAAACTTATTTTCTTAATTATAAAAAGTATATTGTTCCATTGAAATTTGATGAAACAGTAAATTTATTCTTTTTAAATTTTAGACTCATCTTCTAGTTTCGTGATTAACTTGATTAGCAATAAAATATAGACATGTGTGACAGACAAAAATTATTTTTGTATATAAGTTGTACTAATCAAAGAAATTTTATTCAAAATATTCATTATCTAATTTTATGTAACTCTTCTTTTATTTTTATTATGTTTCAAAATGTTCTGAGTTGGTTTTTTGTTATATTTAATTTTAATCTCATAACTAAATCAAAACAAAAATATGATTATGCTACAAGATAACAGTATTACATACAACAATTATCTATTCCTTTTTGATAAATCATTCTTCTTAATGTTCTTTAACCAGTGCATACAAGAAGTACTTGTAATTAGTTGAAAGGCAGAAATTAGGTTGTTAGTTTTGCAGACTAAGAAAAGAAGAAGAATAAAACAAAAATAATAAATTAGTGGTGAAGATGAAGAAGATAAAGGTTAGATATTTTAAATGAAGAGCGAGAACAGATTGGATGGTTTTCATCAATATAAAACGAAGTCTGGACGTTAGACAGTGAGCATTCATTTGTGCCATTCGAACAAAACACCATATTAAGACCATTCTTTCCTGTTATCTTGATCCAGTTATCATCATCAACAAAACTGATTGTTGCATCAACACCAAATTTCTGATTTAGAAGTAATACTTTTAAGTCAGCATCTTCACCTTTCACCCATAAGACATAATTGTCAAAACCAAGTGGCACTTCTGCACTAATTTCATCTTGAATATAAACACCAAAAACTTCACCAGTTTCCTCTTTCCACAAGATACAAATATTATTTCTTTCAACCAATTCTGTTAAGAATGTTTCTTTGTCAACAAAACAATTAAAGTCTTTAATCTCCTCACAGTATTGAGTCCCAGTCAGTCTCATGATTGCCTTTTTGATATCTTTTGAGATGATTGAGTTTGTTTGTTCTTCACAAGGAGAGACTTGATTAGTAGTATTTCTTAAAGAATGAACTACTTGTAAAACTAGATTCAAGTCAATGGATTTTTTAATTTCATTAACTTCAGCTTGTTTAAGTGCTTCATCAATAATAGATTCTTTACCTTCAAATAACCCTTTTTTCTTTTCAACTAAGATGTTTTTGAGTTGTGTTCCTTTAATGAGCATACAATATTGGAATAATTCATCATTCTCAAGTTCATCTAAGTATGTTATTACATTGTTATGGTTCATTGCAGCTT